CCGATAGTAACTAGCATGCACAATGAATAGTCCGGATCCACAACTAGCACTACTGGTCGTCCAAACCCATAACCGGGCACATCACTGGCACTAGGGGGTGTTTGGGGTCCAAAAGCACTACTATGGGTCACCCGGTCCAGCAACTAGCATGCAAAATGGATAGTCCGGACCCACAACTAGCACTACTGGTCATCCAAACCCAGAACTATTGTCTGGACCCACAACTAGCATTAACCCAGAACTAACAGTATGGGTTGTTGTCCAGATCCATAACTGCACTACATGTCATCTGGACCCACAACTAGCATTAACCCAGAACTAACAGTATGGGTTGTTGTCCAGATCCATAACTGCACTACATGTCATCTGGACCCACAACTACCTTTATAGGTACTCCCGACATATAACTACCACTGGGGGTCATCTGGTCCACGCGTCATGCGGTCAAATATCTACTAGCATGAGTCGTCCTACTCCTATCCTACTACTATCACTATCGTTCGCCTGATCCCATCCAGCACTATGGGTCATTCTGGCATGTTGTGACCACTAAGCGGTGGTGGAGCTTGAAGGCCAACTCTGGGCGGGCCAAAATGGAAGAAATAGCCCGTGGGCCGGAGTTCTAAGGCCCAACAATAAACAAAGTTGTGTATAAATTTCAAAATATTGGGCGGGCCATGGCCCATCCGGCCTTGTTGTAGCTCCGCCATTGCCACTAAGATCGGATAGTTATTGAGTTGTACGACATTAGAGTTGCACATATATTGCATAAAATCCATGTGTATTTAAGTACGTTAGTGACTTGTACGACATCGTTAATTATGCAAGAAGCTAAACATGTGGGTCACTAAAAACTACATCAATATATATATTTGACAAATATTTGAGTACATGAGAAAATTAATCCGTCCATTCTCTCTAATACAGTACTAGATACACAACCTATATGGCCATATTGATTATCGTCCTTCGGTTCTTCTGTTCCATGTAGATCCTGAGTACATGCTCCGAAGTTCTCCATTTTAGTTTCTCGCCACATCATGCTACTATTTGATGATGAAGCAATACATCAACGGTGGTAGTGTTTGAGGAGTTCGCTGCCACATTGACAACATGATGTAGTTGCGCCTTGATGGTTGGTAAGAAATACAAAAAAATTGACTGGCAGGTGAAAGATGCAACACAAGTAATCCAACAATCTCACATACGGAAACAGTCTAAAACAATCATGCATGCAATTCAAATTAAAATGTACTGCATTACACACAAAGTAACTGATGTCGCGACAAAGAAACTACAGGATTTTTCTTCTCAACAAAATGCATTTAACATCAAGTTTGCTGCCATCATGTCCTACACAACAAAGAAATATAGTTACTCTAAAAGCTCCATCTGCTTGCAAAGCAATATTGGTTTCTTCATTGCTCCATGGTAGTTCCACCTTTTGTAATCTCAATTCTTTGTGGTGAAATAATATTCATGCGGCGGTATTACTATTATTTTCCACGTCAAAAAGCGGAAATTTAGTCTAGATAACAAATATTTTAACATCTGAAGAAGCTTCTTTGGTGCTTACTTGTATACCACGTCTGCTGTTTATGGTACAGAACAAGACCTGCAAGCATAAATGCCAACACTTGAACATCCACCTTTCTCACAGTGCATTAGACGATTATTTTGCCTCCATTCCAACATAATTCAGCTATCAATCAACCTGTTTGCAATTTTGTGAAGGGGTAGTCTTTGACTTCAATTTTGTGCAGCGAGAACAAGCCTGAAATCACACATTTTCCTTCATCTGTGAAGTTTAATAGTATACCATCAATGAAGAATCTGCAAACTGCTCACAGAAGTTTAATGGTTTCTGTCGAGAAGCAACAGTCAGATAGCACGAGCATTGAAATGGACATACATTTTCTCTTCATGTCAAAGTGAACTTGTAAGCATATTCACAAACATTACAGCATGGCGCGAGGCTTGCAGGCACTACTTGTTCAGAACAATCAGATCTGGAAATAGCTGCACTAAATGACAATTTTGGAGTCTCAGTACTCACAATTCAATAACATATTGAGAACCCATTCAAGTACGTGATTGGAAAAAAGGGGAGGTCATGCTGTTGTCTTGTTCTAGTTTTCAAATTATAACCGCATGCTAGTAATCAGCTTTTCCAAATTGGAATCTGACGGAACCAGATCAGGAGTTGACTCACCAGAGTGGTAGTGCGAGAAGTAGCGTTGCATCCTCATCCTTGATCATCATCCTCCGTGTGATATAGGGGGGCAGACGCAAGATCGAGCGTGTGAGGACGGCAGTGCAGGACGACGAGGCCTTGGTCAGGTGGATGTTCTCGCGAATGATGCGAACGTGGGCCAGGTCCTCGTCGTCCTCCTCCCCAGCTGAAGCCATCAGCCGCCGCCGCCGCCGTTGTCGTCACAGGGGCGGCGAGATACGACGATGCTTGTGCGACGAGTCGGCCTCCGGCTAAACATGTCTACGTCAAAGTCACAATCCCTGACCCTTCTCGCCGTTCCAGAAGACCACCGGATCCCAGTCCCGACCGTCGGGGAGTGCGGGTGCCAGCTGCAGGCACAACCCTAGGCGGTGATCTCTCCTCTCGGGAGAAGGAAAAAGGGAAAAGGAGAGAATCAGGTCGGCCCAAAAATTAGAGAGACTATTATACCCTTTCTATAAAAAAGTAAATCTTTAAATGATTTTTCTAGATCTAACGGCTAGAAAAATTCAGAGGTGGAGTTACACGAAATTACGAGTTGTAACTCTCCAATCACCATAAAAGAGCTCTTAAAAATAATCTAAGCTTCCGTACTTCACTCAGTTTTCTCCCCACCACCTCATTATCTAGCCTTGCACCCTCCACCGATTTTTTCTGTTTTTTCAACCCCGTCTAATTTTCATCAAACCAATATTTTATTCCCTAATAAGCCAGATCAAACTACAATATAAATTCATGGTTGTAATTAAATTGTTTCTTATGGTAAACCTGGGTCTGTCAGACATCTTTTGTAACCCAATAAATATCAAAATATACATGGCCTAGAAGCAAAAAGATATAAATCAATCTCTTATATTAGGTAATCCAAAAAAGCAGACAAATCATGGGCACATACTATTTTATCAATCCAAAAAAAAGTTGGAAAATATAAACCCTATAACCAATATATATATAATTTTTGTCTATTTGCTTTGCATCAAGATTTGTCAGTATGATCCTCTTTTTTTGTTAAAATACGTTTGACCCGTGGCAATTCATTTTTACCTAGTATGTTAAATGCGTGTAGCTCCTAGATTCCAATCACCGTGAGTTGAAGAAGTAAAAACGACAAATATGTTACATATGCCCGTGTGTGTGTGTGTGTTTGTTGCTGGTTGATCAATCAATCCACATGTTGCCTAGCCCCCGATGAAACCAGATTCAATTCATCTGAAGGCAAGCCAGGTTTGCTATATGTGTGTTTGCCATTGGCCAAGCGGAATATTTGTTTCACGGGCACAAAGACATTAAAAGGATCAAGATCGACACACCTGTGAGAGTGTCCTTGACGGAGGCAAAGGGCATAACTCCAAATTGTTGGCCTTCCACGCGTCCTTGTACCCCATCTTCTCCGTGACACACGTCCTCACCGCAGCCGCCTGCAATGAAGGCGACTCGTCAAATTCTAATAGAGGACACACCCTTCTCACATAGTTCACGCCTTCCAGAGATCCAAATATTGAAAGCTGGCATGGTCGCGTGGAGGACGACGATGACCGCGACATGAAGTGGGCGAGGTGGAGCTAGCCAACCTTAACCTATGGCCATCCTGTTCATGCATATGTTAAGCTACTAGTACTGGTGAATCCAAAACAAAGTTGAAATCTAGCTGAGCCGCTTTAAGCGCACCGTACCATCACGGGTTGGTGGGCTTGGTCCCCGGTTCTTGCTGATGGCTCCGATGAGAGAGGAAGTGGAGCCTAGTAGACCTCGATTAGGCTCCGTTGAGGGGTTGCTGACTTTGCTTCTCATTGTGGAAGCCGTCTTGGAGCAAATGGATGGAGGGCATAGGTGGAGCAAGGCTGAAAGGCGAGAAAGCGAGAGGGCGAGGTGTCGACCCTCGCCGCCATGGCCAAGTCTAGCGAGGAAAGAAGAGGTTGGTTGAGTGCCTATAGTGTAGCGTGCAATCGGGAGGGTGGTGAAAGGGCGTGGGTGGTTGGCCTCCGATCAATACAAACCTATCCATGTGTTACTGTGGACACTGAGATAGCCTATCCCGGTGTCTACCCACACATGCTTTGTTCAATTCGTTCAGTAACTCTTTCTAGGAGACGACAATGCTAATCAAAAACATCCCCTAGGAAAAGCCTCACGACCTGACGGTTGGCGTACATCTGTTGACATTCCACCGCATGTTTGCTTAGACGATCATGTACAATTAATGCGTGTAGGGGTGGTTGTTGTTGTTTATTACGGTAATATTCTCTCAGCAATCTTCTTTTCCGATAAAAACGAGGTAGGATCGCATTCCTTTCCACGCATTGTCGGCAACGAATACATTTCCTCGCAACCGTTTCCACGTCCCCCATTACCTTAAGATCAGAAAATGTAGGGTTTTTCTCGGTGATCATCGACACCGGTAGGGAAAAGGGTTCTGTCACATGTTAGGATAAGAGTGTTAGCATCGTTAATGATGAACAAATGAGGGTGTTTGGTCTAGTGGTATGATTCTCGCTTCGGGTGCGAGAGGTCCCGAGTTCGATTCTCGGAACACCCCTTTTTTTTCCCCTTCCTTCTGGGCCATTTCTTTTTTGCCTCGCTCCTGGGCCTGTCCCATCCCCCCTCCACAGCCCGGCCCACGAAGCCCAGCGGAACCTCGAGCTCCACCACATAAGCCAGCAGCCATGGCGGGAATGGGGAAAAGTGGAGCGCGCCAAGATTTTGCCGCCTAGGGTTTCCCCTCCTCTCTCCACTGCCGTTCGTGTCACTAGCAGCAGCGCCAGGATCCATGGCGGGGGAGGCCAAGGAGCCGGAGGCGGCCGCCCACTCCCAGGGCGAGGGGTCCAAGGCCAAGGCCAAGAAGCCCAAGGCTGCGGCGGCCGCGGCCGCCCAGGACGGGGAGGGGGCCAAGGCCAAGGCCAAGAAACCTAAGCCGGCTGCTGCGGCCGCGGCCGCCGAGGAGGGGGAGGGGTCCAAGGCCAAGAAGCCTAAGGCGGCTGCGGCCGCCGAGGAAGGGGAGGGGGCCAAGGCCAAGAAGCCTAAGGCGGCTGCGGCCGCCGAGGAGGGGGAGGGGGCCAAGGCCAAGAAGCCTGCGGCTGCGGCCGCGCCGGTGGCGGCGATGGCGGAGGCGGAGGTGGAGGAGCTGCCCAAGGCCATCGTGCGGCGGCTGGTCAAGGACAAGCTCGCCCGGGCCGCGTCCGGCGGCGAGGGGGCAGAGGGAGGGGCCGAGGTGATTGTCAACAAGGACGCCATGGCCGCCTTCGCCGAGGGCGCCCGCATCTTCATCCACTACCTCTCCGCCACGTCCGTTTGCTTCCCCCAACCTCCGTTTCTTCCTCCCCCTAAAATCAATCTTGCTCTGGTTGATTCCTGCCAGCAATCCTGATTGGTTTGGTTTGTTGGGTTCAATTACTTGTCGATGGATTCAATTTACTGTGTAGATCCAACTGATGAATCTGATGCTTGTCTGAAATGTTTTGGGTGTTTTGGGGGAAGACATCGGCAGTAGTTAATTTCTTGGCATCAGGTTAGCACTGGTTCAGAATCTGCATTGCTGACATAGCTCTTAAGCTAGTTGCTCTGCTTTGCGTCCGAGGGGAGCGCCGCCGAAGAGCGAATCCATTGAATGCACAAGGAAGAACCGATAGTTTCGGCGTAGTATTAGGCTTCTACCTGTGATGTGATGCTTTTGGGATGATGATAGTGACATGAGTGTGGTCTTATTTGCAGGGCTAATGATGTGTGCAAGGACGGAAAGAGGCAGACGATCAACGCGGAGGACGTCTTCAAGGCGCTCGATGAGATCGAGTTCCCCGAGTTTGTGGAACCCCTGAGGACTGCACTGGAAGGTCAGTGTTGTTTTCTACTTGTATCCTCCATTCTGTTGCAGCCTGCTGTTCTTGCTCGGTTGTGCCCGTCAAGCAAATGTTCTTTGAGTTTAGAGCTTTAGATGCTGTATGGATGGATAACTCTACGCAATACTGTAAATGAAGTGTGCAGTGGCTCAGTTCTTTAGATCTTCAGCTTAGAGAATCCAAGAGCATAAATACGAGCTGTTCACCGCATTGGAATTTATTTGACTGATTAATACCCTTACCAATGAGGAGCTGTATGAATCTGGGATCCAAGAGCATAAGTACAAGTTGATAATAGCTAAGTATTGGATTTAGACGCAATCTTGTTCAAAAAAACATTTGGGTTTGTTGGATTAAATACTTTCTGCATCTGCCTGTACAATTAATTTAGACGCAATCTTGTACAATTAATTTACAAACAAACTTGCTCAACCATCCTCTGCCTTCAGTAAGATTTCTCTATCGTCCATCGCGCAGTCTTATGTTCTTGTTCTTCAGCTGTGCCCATCAAGTATACGTGCTTGGAGTTTATATGCTGCATGGCTAACTCTATGCCGTAATATAAATGAAGTGTGCAATGGCTCGGTGATTTAGATTGTTGGCTTAGAGAATCTGGGGGTGTAAACAGAAGTTGTTAACGACAATGGAATTTCTTTGACTGATTAATATTCTTATGAGTTATGAATTAGGAACTGCATGAATCTGGGATCCGAGAGCATAACTGGGAGTTGATAATAGCTATTGTATTTAGATGCAATGGTGTTCAAAAGAACATTTGTGCTTATTGGATTGCACTCAATCTCTCTGCTTTTTACAATTAACTTAGAAACAAACTTGTTCCACCATCCTCTGCCTGTAGGAAGATTTTTCTACCATCCATCTTATACAAGCTCTCACTGCCGCCCTTTTGCCCTGTTTCTGTTTCAGAGTTCAGAAGCAGAAACGCAGCCCGGAAACCAGCATCAGGCAAGAAGCAGTCTGAAAAGAAGAGGAAACTGGATAAAGAGGCAGTGCCCGAAGAGCATAACGGTGCAGCCGATGAAGCCAACGTGGACGGGGATTAGTTTTTCTGATCTTATGATAGGCTGAACTGAATCACATTAGTAGGTGTACTTCCTTAGCAGCAGGCCCCTTGTGCTCTGTTTCGCGGTCTCTCTAGATGCAGAACTGCTGTGTACTTGGTATCATGATGTATGCAGTGACTCATGTTTCCATTCCAAACATCGTCGGCTACATTAAATTACGAATCTCATCTTCGTGCTATTTAAATTAACACCTGTGGTGAAATATACTGTTTTTGTGTTAATGATGGCACATGAATAAGTTGATTGGAAGCTGCTGGTTTTCTATGCACAGTCGCTGCACATCTTGTTCTGATCTGTCAATGTGTACTGTCACAAAGAAAGAAAAAATGTTTACAATTTGCGCTGTAAATGCTTGAAACCAAATATATGAACTATGATGCAGCACATAAATCAACATCATAACTGAAATTTGGGGTCTACTCATGATCAGTCTGAAACTTGACTTGATAGACTGAATATGCAATATAACCTGCTGCTTTCAGTGAGTTTCTCAGATTGACACAGGAATCTCACTAATAATATGCAATATAAGCTGTAGTTTCTCTATGCACAATCTCTAGTGGAACTGCTCATTGCACATCTTGTTCTTCTGATACAAAAATTAAGTACATGCTTAACCTGTCAATGTGTCCTGCTGTAAACAAAGAAAAACATAATACTCCCTCTGATAAAAAAATAAAGATATGGACGGTACTTATTTTGGATCAGAGGGAGTATTTGATTTTGCAAGTGCCTGAAAACAAAGACATGGACGATGGTGCAGCACTCACAAGTCAGCATCATAACTTAAAAGTGAGGTCTATTTATGATCATCCTGAAACTCGGCCCGAATAGGTTGAATATGCACAACGAAACATAGGTTTCAGTGCACTTCTCAGATTCACAAAGGAAAGTTGCTTCGAACATGAACTGAAAACAGGACCAAAGTTGAACATGAACTGAAAACATTCTCAGAGTTCAGACTTGGCAGGCCTAGTCTGCTGCTGTTGAAAGCTGCCTGTATAACCATATATATCGTCGATCAAGTCCAGAGCTCAAATCAACCCACCAGCAACAAGTAAATGTGGAATTTCCAAAGTATCTTCCACAGAAATAGTGCTTATAATTAACCCATTCAAATATAAATAGCTGTAACACCATCTGCTTCTAATATAAAGTCTGTGCTCCCGCCACTTTCTCGAAAACAAGAAACAGAACTTGTACAGTCATGGTACCAAAACTCTCTGACCAGCCGAAAAACAGTATAACTAGCTCGCAAGGCATTGAAATGTCCTCTAATTCAGTCCGAACGCCATTTCGCAACAACTCTTTCTTTTGCAGACATTCTGGCTCTTTCTTTGACAGGCGCTGCAGCCACCACTTCAGCGCTGTCTACAGGAGTCGGTTTCGTCCTGGAGGCGGGCGCCGACATGGCCCGAGAAACACAATAAGCCGCAAAGGTGATTGCGCGCCGTATCTGCCGCAGCACGACCAGCAACGGATAGACGGCAGCCCCCAGAAGCACGTTGAAATTCGCGATGAGGAAGACCTGCAATGCAAAGTTGAGCAAGTGTTAGCACTACTATATAAGTATGTTTTACAGAAAGGACTAGATATAGTAACACAGGACATTCCCCGCTTACCGCCGCGATAATGCCGAGGATCGTAAGAACAGCTGCTTCGCCGCGTCCCAGAAGCCTCCGCTGCTAAACCACCTGAACCAACCACCTCCGCCTCCTCCCCCTCCTCCTCCTCCAGACCTTCCCCTGCCACCGCCACCGGCAGCAGGACGTCGGTCTCTTCGCCGCCTTGCATCAGTTTCCATGCCCCATGTCCCGAACCCCGTCTTGTTCTGGTCTAAGGCACCCTCTAGCCCTCTCCTAGCTTCCTCCTGCAAGGAAAGTCCAACAATGCCTATCACAGATCAAAGAGGGGAGTTTGATACTACGTACTTAACAGTGTACAAGTTCAGAAAATTCAGGCTGTCTGCAACCATCAAACCTGAACCAACAAGATCAAAATATGGTACTTGCAGGAATATCATCCTAATTCGGCTTGGCTATGTTTTTACAAGATTAAAAACGAAAAACCACACAGCAATCCAGCACTCTGAATGTGTCCCAACATTAGCCTCAACTGTCAACTCAACGAAGGATTAAGAACTGAATTCGAGCTACAGTTTCAGCAGCACCTAGCAGGCTAACACCTTGCGGTCGCCAGCCAAAGGCATCAGCCCAAAATCTGAACCCAGTGCAAATCTAAAACCCGGCAAGATCTTGCTCACGGAGGATGGTTGGTCTAGTAAAGAGACGGGCGCTGCGCGCACCTGCTTCCGGCGGCCGGCGCTGGCGCCGGAGAAGAGGCAGTGGGCGCGGCCGGAGCCGGGGCCCCGCCCGGTGGCGATGCATCCGGAGAGAGGGCGGGATGGGACGGCGGCGGAGAGGGCGGCGTCGCGGCGGGGGGCGCGGAGGCGGAGCAGAGGAGGCGGGCACGGAGGAGGCGCGAGGGACATGGCTAATCTGAAGCTCCGGGCTATGGCTTTCTTGGCTGGCTACTGAGCCTGCTCTCCAGTCTCTAGCACATGGGTCCCACACAAGATTAGGGCTTGTTGTTTTTCACTAATTTTTTTAGGGCAAAAACAAAATCTGTTCATGAAAAAAGAAACTCTGTTAGGACATGTACAACCGCCAGCTTCCAAAAAACAGGCGGCAAAGAACTGGCTGATGGCAAAGATCACATTTACCATCAGCCACTTCTTTGCCGTCTGCTAGCGGACGTCAAAAAAGCTTTGCCGTCAGATAGCGGACGACAACCAACTTGGACTAGGAAACTTGTGATCTAAGGAACAGTCTAACATCCCCCCGCAGTATCAACGGGAGGCTCGATGACGTTGCCATTGAAACATATGTCTTGAAATGGCTTAGTAGCAAGTCCTTTGGTGAAGATGTCAGCAAATTGGAGCCATAGTAGCAACATGGAGCACCCGAACTTGTCCAAGAGCCACCTTCTCACGAACAAAGTGAATATCAATCTCAATATGTTTGGTCCGGTAATGCTGAACAGGATTCCCAGACATGTAAACAGCTGAAATATTATCACAATATATAATAGTAGCCTACTCAACCGGTCGGTGCAGTTCTGAGAGCAACTGACAAACCCAAATAGTATCAGCGACAGCATGTGCCACAGCACGGTACTCAGCTTCAGCGGATGAGCGAGAGACCGTAACCTATCTTTTTGAGGACCAAGAAATCAAATTGTTACCGAGAAAAACACAAAATCCGGATGTGCATCGTCGAGTGTCTGGACAACCAATCCAGTCTGCATCAGAGTATGTGGTGAGAGAATGAAGAATGGACGTATTGATGTGAAGACCATGATCAAGAGTACCTTTCAAATACGTAAGAACACGTTTGACATGACTATAATGTGGAAGCCGTGGATCATGCATATGGAGACATGCTTGTTGAACATCAAAGGAAATTTCAGGATGAGTGATAGTGAGATATTGGAGAGCCCCGGTTAAACAACGATACATAGTAGGATCATGGAAAGGTTCACCGTCAGCTGATAGTTTGAAACTGGTATCAATAGGGGTGCGAGAGGACTGACAGTCAAGCATACCGACATGATTAAGAAGATCAAGAGTATACTGACGTTGGGAAAGAAAAAGGCCAGAAGAATCACGAAGAACAACAATGCCCAAAAGTGATGAAGAATACCAAGATCAGTCATAGAGAATTCAAAACGAAGAAGGGTAATAATGTGATCTAAAAAGGTTTGAGAAGATGCTGAGAGAATGATGTCTTCTACATAAAGAAGGAGGTAGGCAGTTTCAGAGTTGTGGTGGTACAAAAAGGGAGAAGTGTTAGAAAGTGAAGGAGTGAAACCTATCGTTTGGATGAAAGAAGAGAAACACTGAAACCAGGCTCGTGGAGCTTGTTTGGGGCTATAAAGGGATTTTGGAGAAGACATACATGATTTGGATAGGAGGGATTTTCAAAACCAAGAGGTTGCTGGCAATAAATGGTCTCTTGAAGAGAACCATGGAGAAAAGCAGTTTTTACATCTAGTTGATGGATGGGCCATGCGGAGGAAACATCGATGCTAAGAACGGTACGAATGGTGCTGTGCTTGACAACAAGAGAGAATGTCTCATCATAACTAATGCCATGTTGTTGAGAGTAACCATGATAGACCCAGCGGGCTTTATAGCGTGAGAGGCTCCAGTCAGAGTGGAATTTTTGGCGAAGGACCCATTTGCCAGAGATGACATTTGTATTGGAAGGACGAGGAACTAACTGCCAAGTATTGTTTTCAAGTAAAGCATCGTATTCTTCTTGCAAGGCAGTAGCCCAATTCAGATCAAGAAGAGCAGTTTTGTAAGTTCTGGGGATTGAAGAGAGAGAAAGGTGGTAGCATGTAGGTTGAGGCGATCTTTTGGCTGACGAAAACCAGATTTGGCGCGAGTACGCATGCCATCATCATTGACAGGGGCGAAGGTAGGAACAACATGAGCTGGTAGCATGGAAACAGGGGTTTCCGATGTAGGAGAAGATGCAGACAGTGGGTTGGGTGGCGGCGGGTTGGGTGGTGTTGGGATGTTTGGTTGCGGGTTGGAGGGTGGCGAGTTGGGTGGTGTGTGTGGGTGTTTGGTGGAGGGTTGGGTAGTGGCGAGTTGGGTGGTGTCTGGATGTTTGGTGGCGGGTTGGGTAGTGGCGGGTTGTTTGATGGCGGGTTGGGTGGTGCTGCCGCAACAGTAGGTGCGACAGGTTGGGCTGCCGTGAAAGGAGTGTAGAGGTGGAAGGGACGGGGAGAAGAGGTGGCAGCAGAGGTAGGGATGATTGATGGTGTGTCAGTGCGTTGAGCAGAGGGAAAAATATGTTCGGCAAATGTAACGTGGCGAGACACGTGTACCCGTCCAATGTGTTAGTCAAGAGAGTGATACATTCATTTTGCATCATGTTTTCCTACTGTTATTTATAGTATTTTGATGCATA